TGAAAGCAGCAAGAGAAAAACAAGTCACATACAGAGGAAAGCCCATCAGAATTACAGCTGACTTATCAATGAAAACTATGAAAACCAGAAGAGCCTTGGCCAAAGTATTTCCAGTTCTACATAACAATAGATGCCAGCCCAGAATACTTTACCCAGCAAAAATGTCTATTATACTTGAGAGGGAAAGAAAAATCTTCCATGACATGAGAAGCCTGAAAGAATACATGTCCACAAAACTAGCCCTTCAAAGGACACTTGAAGGAATACAGAGAGAAACAACTATACTCCAGGGGCAACAAAAGAAAATAAATAAAGGTACAATCGAGGAAACACAAAATTAGACAGAGAACACAAACAGCAATCAAAATGACAGCAACCAATACACATCTTTCAATAATAACCTTAAATATCAATGGACTGAACTCCCCAGTCAAAAGACACAGGCTAAGTGAATGGATTAAGAAACAAAATCCAAAAAAAACAAAAAAAACCCAAATCCATCTCTTTGCTGCCTGCAAGAAACCCATCTCACCTTCAAGGACAGGTACTACCTTAAGGTGAAAGGATGGAAAAGAATATTCCAAGCAAATGGCACTAAGAAACAAGCAGAGGTTGCGATTCTAATATCTGACAAAATAGACTTCAAAGTAAAACTAATCAGAAGAGATAAGGAGAGTCACTTCATTCCGATCAAAGGAACAGTTAACCAAAAAGACATTATAATCCTTAACATATATGCAGCAAACTCTGGTGCACCCAAATTCATGAAAACAACACTACAGGACTTTAAGACACAGATTAACCCTAACTTAGTAATAGTAGGGGACTTCAAAACCCCACTCTCTCCATTAGACAGGTCAACTGAACAAAGAATAAACAGAGAGACGTCTGAACTAAATGATACCATACATCAAATGGACCTAACAGACATCTTCTGAATAATTCACCCAAGCATCAAAGAATACACTTTCTACCCCATGGAACTTTTTCAAAAATTGACCACAGACTGGGCCATAAAACAAACCTCAACAAATACAAAAAAATTGAAATAATTCCATGCATTCTATTGGACCACAATGCAATAAATCTCAAAATCAACACTGAACAAAGCCCTAGCCACTACACAAACTTGTGGTGATTGAACAACACACTTCTAAACAAGTGGGTCAAAGGAGAAATTAAGAAAGAAAAGAATTCCTGGAATTCAACGAAAAGGACAATATAACACAACACAACCTCTGGGACACTTCAAAAGCAGTCCTAAGAGGAAAGTTTATAGCTCTAAGTGCCTACATTAAAAAATTAGAAAGAGCCCAAATAAATGACCTAACACTGCAACTCAAGGCACTGGAAAGGCAAGAACAAATGAAACCCAAACCCAGCAGAAGAGAAAAAAATAACAAAAATCAGAGCAGAAATTAATGAAATAGAAACAAAGAAAACAATACAAAGAATCGATGAATCTAAGAGCTGGTTCTTTGAAAAGACAGGGAAGATAGACAGACCCTTAGCCCAGTTAACCAAAAGAAAGAAAGAGCAAATCCAAATCAACAAAATCAGAGATGATAGGGGAAACTTCACAAGAGACAGTCAGAAGATCCAGACCATTATAAGGGAATATTTAAAAAATCTATATGCTACTATATTTGAAAATCTAAAAGAAGTGGATGGATATCCAAAATCATGGGAACCACCAAAGTTAAACCAAAATGAGATCAACAGTTTAAACAGACCCATAACATAGAAAATTGAAACAGTAATACACAGACTCCTGATTAAAAAAAGCCCAGGCCCAGATGGATTTCCAGCAGAAATTCTGCCAGACATTTAAAGACCTCCAACCAGTACTACTTAAGTTATTCAAACTGATAAAAACAGAGGGAGAACTCACAAATTCCTTCTATGAAGCCAGCATCACTTTTAATACCCAAACCAGGTAAAGACACAACCAAAAAAGAAAATTATAGACCCATATCCTTAATGAACATAGATGCAAAAATTCTCAGCAAAATACTTGCAAACTGTATACAGACACACATCAAAAAGACCATCCACCATGATCAAGTAGGTTTTATCCCAGAGATGCAGGAATGGTTCAATATACACACATCAGTAAACATCAATAATCATATAAATTAACTCAAAGACAAAAAACACATTGTCATCTCAATAGATGCATGCCAGTCTCTGAACCCCTTCGTCTCCGGCAGAGGAACGAGGGGCCACGGCGATGGGGGTTGAGGAGGGGAAGTGCGCTGCCCGCCCGTTTCGCCAACCCTTCTCTCTGAGGACAATCAGATGCGGAAGGGAGTCACTTCAAGCAGGAAAACTTGTTTATTGGCAAGGCTGGTCAATATTTAAGGGCAAAAGTCGCAAGCATTAGCATAGGCGGGAAAGCCATCATTCAATCAGCTTAGAGGTCACGTATGTCACACAGGCTCTTCTCATAGTATAACACATTGTTCACGAGGTGATCACACATCCTTTACTGGCTAGGCTCCAATCAGTATTACTTCCTCTTTTTGTGGTGCGCCAAGCTGGCCAGCTGGCTCCACCTTCGCCTCAGCTGCTCGGTGCCATCTTGTTACTGCACCTCCACAGATGTAGAAAAGGCTTTTGACCAAATTCAGTGTGCATTTATATTCAAAGTCCTAGAGAGAATTGGACTGGAGGGAACATAACTCAACATAATTAAAGCTACATACAACAAACCCACAGCCAACATCAATCTAAATGGAGAAAAACTGGAAGCATTCCCATTGAAATCAGGAACCAGACAAGGCTGCCCACTATCTCCACTCCTTTTCTACATAGTGCTTGAAACTCTTGCTAGAGCAATAAGACAGGAGAAAGAGATTAAAGGAAAAGAAGAGGTCAAACTATCCCTTTTTGCAAATGATATGATACTATACCTAAGAGATCCCAAAAATTCCACCAGAAAACTAGAATTGATCATCACTTTCAGTATAGTGGCAGGTTATAAAATCAATCTCCCAAAATCCCTTATGGAGAAATCCCTGTTTGTAGGGCTAGACACTCAGAACAGGACACGTGCTCTGCGAGTACACCCTCACTTCTTGATGCTGGAGGAAAGCAGTACTCACTGTCCTTTAAACCCAGAAGGGTGACAGGAAAGTCTCTGGTCTGGTCCTTCCAGTGCTGGGGATGGGCTTACAGCTTTGGGAGAAGTAGGAAGAAGTTTTCACTGTGGCTCTGGGGGATACTGGGAAAGAGTCCGGACCTCCTTTTTAGCATTGGGCTTATGGAAGGAGACTGAGACCCTTTCTCCTGATCCAAGGCCCAGTTTGGGAATGTTCTCAACCTTTCTGTGGGTGAGGGTTGGACCTTGTATACGCTGGGTCTCTCCTTTCCCACAGCAGTCAGCTGATAATCTACAGTCACAGGACTGAAGAAGCAAATGTGAGGGGGCCTTCAGGGACACTTGGGATGGGCAGAGGGATGCTTTGGGCCTCTCAGCTTCATGTGCTGGTCCATAAAAGGGACAGACGACTAATCCAAGCCATACACTTGGCAGCCTAGAGATAGGGAGAGGAGGATGAGCAGTGGCCTTGGCTCATGCAACAACCCTCCCCATCCACACATCTGTGGTTGAGTCAAAGACCCTTTCCCTTAGGCATTCCACACACTCCACTGTCACCAGGTGCTTCAAGTTCGTTCTGCTTCTCATTGGTAGGGCAGAGGAAGAGGAAGCTCAGCACCAGCCTCTTTTTCCACTTTAACTCTTGAATTCTGCCCAGAGGTCTTGGGCAGGGGCCTGAAGCTCGTCTGTAGAGACCCTGCTATTTCTGAAGTTTTTTTTCCCCCTGGGTCTGGCTTCCCACATTGCTGGGAAGCTTTGGGGTCCCTGGTTGGTTCAGCCTTTCTCTCTCGATGATTATAGGAGAAAAGAGATTTTCTGGGTGACTTCCAATTCCACTTCAGGCTTAAAGTCCTCCTCCTCATTTCCACAAAAGATTAGAACACAGGAGGAACACTGCCTTGACTGGGGTGTGCTGAAGAGAGGCTGTGGGCCAAGAGGGCAGTTTGCTACAAGCATTTTATTCACAGTGGAGTCTTACAGAGATGAGGGAGTTAATCCCTCCCTCCTTACCTGCCTGGGTTTCAGGACCACTGAGATAAAAGGAATTGCCTAGCAGGGACAGGTGCTCTAGGGTCTGAGCAATCAGGGAAGGCAGAGAAATACATGGAGGGATAGGAAAGAGACTGGAGACCTTAGCTAAGATGGGAAGATGAGTCCAGAGGAGGAAAGGCCCCTGAGACTCAAGCAAAACAAACCCGCCCCAACCCAGACCTTTAATCCCCTCCTGTGGATAGGCATGGGGTATTCAATGATGGAAACCTTAATTTCATTTCTTTGCAAAAAAGTTGAGATTAATGGTATTTCCTTAGTCTGATAGGCAGTTTGGTACAAGAGGCGGAGCATCGCCTCAGTTTCCCCATGCTCACATTTGAACCTTCCTGCAATGTCCCGCCTTGGTTCACCTTTGCCCTTTAGATTCTTCTGTGAGTCCAGCTGGTATCCAAGTAGAAGGAGGTGCAAAACTGGAGGCAGGTGGAACGGGGGAAGGACTACCCCCTTTACATCTTCCTCTCCAGTTAAGGGGAATCCAAGGACCACATGGTTCTGAAGTTTTCTGGATTTGGGGACACAGGGCTTCCATCCCCAAGTTTGATCCATGGGTCCCTGGGGAGGGTCTGTCCCTGGGATCCAGGTGCTCCATTGGCTCCACTATAGGGCTAGGCTTTGCCACCAACTCCTCAGGCCTGAGCAACAGGTGTTGAAGTCTCTCACCAGTGCCATGTTCCAGTCCAGTCAGCAGGGGGAGCCCTGGAAATGCAGGAGTAGAACATCTGACTTGGAGGACCCTGGAAGCTGCTTCTCTGAGGAGAGAGGAGGCAAGATGAGTCCTGAGAGATGGGTCCAGTCAGAGCGGAGAGGGGGCAGCAGTGCAGGAGTGAAAGAGGCAAAGCTGGGCAGGTCACCTTGGAGGCTCTGGAAATGGCAGCAAGGGCCCAGCCAGCCTGGGCCCAGGGAAGATCCGA